CCCCCCCCCCAGTCTCTAAGGGGCTCCTGGATTCGAATCAAGCACAGTATGGTTTCTGTACAGGGAGGCCTATCAGCAAGCACAGAGCAAACTACGGGTTTGAAAACGGCTTCTTCTACCCAAAACGTCATAGGGCAGGATGAGAAAGAGGTCGAAACCAGTGTTCCCTCTAAGCTGTGAGCAAAAAATCTACTTTGGGAGCCACTGGCATTAAAGTTGTGAGCGAGCGATTTGGCTCCTGCATAAATTAGCTTGCTCTGGAGCCCTCCTTCCTGAGCTGAGACAAAAGTGTTTGAGCTGGAGGCTAAAAAACGGTAAGCTGGCTCACACTAACTCAGCTGAGAGGGAACACTAGTGGAAACATAATCCCAAGGTTCTTGCAGTTGTCACATCTGGCCTACAGGCAGCTGTGTATGCAGAAGTGGACACGTCCCACTAAAAGTGCAACCAGAGCTGGATGGATGAGATCCGAAAAAGATTAACATAGAGGGAAGGAGATTCAGGTGGGTAGCCATGTTGGTCTAAAGCAACAGAACAAAGTCTCAGTCCAGGGGCACCATTAAGACCAACAAAGTTTCATTCTGGGTATAAAGTTTTGTGTACGCGCACGCTTCTTCAGATACATGGGAACAGACTTCCCCAAGCCTTAGTTCTCACTTAAAATCATGGAAGGGACCTCCAGGGGCATCTAGTCCAACCCCCTGCGAAATGCAGGAAATTCACAAATCCCCCCCACACACACACCCAGTGACCCCTGCTCCATGCCCAGAAGATGACAAAAAACCTCCAGGATCCCCGGCCAAACTGGCCTGGAGAAAAATTCCTTCCTGAGACCCCAAAGTGGCGATCGGCATTTCCCTGGGCGTGTAAAAAAATGGCCATGAGAACTAAGCACTGAGGCAAGCCTTCCTGCCCTCCCTCTCAAGAATCAGCATTGCTGTCAGATGGCCATCTAGCCTCTGTTTAAAAAACCTCCAAAGAAGCAGAATACCCAGAATTCAACATTGTTGGTCTTAAAGATGCCACTGAACTCAAACTTAGTTCTCACATTTGTTGTTAACGGGTCATTTCAAAGAAAAAGAGCTGCAGGAGCTCATTAGCATATGCCACGCCCCCTGACATCACCAGAAGTGATGTCAGAAGGGGAAGCAAAACGGGGGGAGGCATCTTCAAAAGCCTCCCCTTCCCTTCCCCAGCCAGCCTGCCAAGGTGGGCTGGGAGGGGGGGAAGCGAAGAGAGAAGGGGTTTAAAGTTTAAACCCCTTCTCTCTAGAGTTGCGCCGCAGCGGCGGCATGATCTTTCCATTGTATTCTATGGGGCCACAGAATACAATGGAAAGATCACGCTGCTACTGCAGCGCGACTCTAGAAAGAAGGAGAGCAGGGGCAGGGAGCTGGGGGCGGGGCTTGCCACCACCGCCATTTGTGCCTGCTGCTGGGCTGCCAGAGCAGTGCTCCGGCGCGCTCCGGCCCCAAATAACCCCTGGTTGTTAACTCTTTTACTATCTGTATGTTAATCTGCGGCTGTTCACAGGACTTACCAACTGCTTATATCCAATCTCAGCTATACTCATCGCTCAATTACTTATGCATCTTGACTTCGACGCCCAAGAGGACAGCCCCCGGCCCCAGCGATCAGGATCTGCTAGTTCTAGACACCCCAACCCCAAGGAGTAAATAGGCCAACCGCAAAGGATTTAAAATCTCTCTTGTGGTCTAAGTGTACAGCAGGGAAAGGCGACAGAACAGAATGATCGATTCCAGACAGCAGGAAAAGAATGCCGTTTTTCAAATGTGCCCACATGTAAAGAATCCCTTGCTAGGATTTTTTTTAAAAAAAAACCTAGAAAGTCAGGGGAAAAGTCCAGGTATACGCCTGCAGGGCTGGTTTTCTCCTCGCAGGGAGGGACATTGTTGTTGTTTTTATCAGAGGGAAATCTCAACGGGGATCTCTGTCACTTGCAGTCCATTCTGCCACTTCAGGGTGAATCGGGACAGCTTTAATTTTACGCAAAACAGCCGGGGGAGGGGGATTTGGACTGAGGCTAGGGTTGCCAACTCTGTGTTGGGAAATCCCTGGAAGTCTGGGGGTGGAGCCTGGGGAGGGGAGGGTTGGGGAGGGATCTCAAGCGCGGTACGGTGTCACCGACTCCACCCTCCAAAGCAGCCATTTTCTCCAGGGGAATTGAACTGGAGATCACTTGTAATTTCAGGGAATCTTCAGGTACTGCCTGGAGGTTGGCAACCTGAATTGAGGCCATGGAGCGATAGCCCTCCTCCACCCAGCACTGCGGCTCCAATCCCCACCCACCCTCCTCCCTATGGCTGGTTTTTAAATGAAATTAAAAGATCTCCGATCTCGCCCTGACCTAGATAGCCCAGGCAAGCCCGATCTCGTCAGTTCTCGGAAGCGAAGCAGGGTCGACTCCGGCAAGTACTTGGGTGGGAGACCTCCAAGGAATACCAGCAGCCGGGAGGTGGGGACAGGCTTTATTCAGCCACCTCTCTGAATATCCTCCAGGCCCCCAGTCACCAGAGGGCACCAGGACTTCCAGGCGCGCGTGCACCCACACATACACATATGCACATTTTAAAAAATACCCCTCCCAAAAAAAGAGATCTCTGACCCGCTTGTATTTTGTCTAGTTTGTTCACTTGTTCTGGGACACGTCTAGATTAGTCTGAGTGTTGAAATTCTCCCAGGTGGCCACAAGGTGTCAGCAATTTCAAACTTTTCCAAATCATGTGGGGGGGGGGGGGGGCGCCAGAAGAGGCTAAAAGAGGTCAATTTGAAGAGGGAGGGGGGAAGGAGACCATAGAGCATCCCGATCAAAGATTCCCCCCCCCCCAGCAAAGTGGCAAGTAGGGACCCTGAACCTTGCCTTTATTCCTTCAGCTATAAAATTATAACGTGAAAAGGACAGCTTTTGATTCGGAGATTTTAGGCCCAGAACACCATTTGCCCTAGAAATGTACATTGTGCATGACTCCAATTAGCGATCTAGAACCTGAACAGTTCTAGAACTGCAGGGACCACACATCAAAGAACACAGAGCCATCTGGGGCGGAGGCAGAGGGGCCTCTACTGCAAGGCTCAGTCTGGATTTTCCTCCTTGCAGTCGATTTGGGGCCCCATAAGAGGGCTACCAACTCTGGGTTGGAAAATTTCTGGAGATTTGGAGGAGGAGCCCGGGGAGGGCTGAGTTCGGGGAAGGGAGGGACCTCCGTGGAGTCCACCCTCCAAAGCAGCCAATTTCTCCATAGGAGTTGATCTCAGTCGTCTGGAGATCAGTCGTGATTCCACGAGATCTCCAGACTGCACCTGGAGGTTGGGAAGAAGAAGAAGAAGGAGAAGAAGAAGAAGAAGAAGAGGAGGAGGAGGAGGAGGAGATTGGATTTATACCCCGCCCTTCACTCAGAGTCTCAGAGCGGCTTACAAACTCCTCTCCCTTCCCCTCCCCACAACAGACACCCTGTGAGGTAGGTGGGGGCCGAGAGAGCTCTTTCAAGGACTGCTCTTGAGAGAACAGCTCTTATCAGAACTATGGCTTGCCCAAGGTCATCCAGCAGCTGTAAGTGGAGGAGTGGGGAATCAAACCCGGTTCTCCCAGATTAGAGTCCGCTGCTCTTAACCACTACACCAAACTGGCTCTCAAACTGGCAACCCTACTCTACCATGCGGCAAAATCTGGACCTTCCCCCTTACAGTGGATTTGGAACCCCATACAGGGCTGCCGGTTCTGGGATGCGAAATTCCTGTAGATTCAGGGTTCGGGGAGTGAAGGGAGCTCAGCAGGGTACGATGCCACAGAGCCCCCCCCCCCTCCAAAGCAGCCATTTTCTCCAGGGGAGCTGATCTCTGTCGTCTGGAGAACACTTGGAATTCTGGGAGATCAGCCGGAGACAGGCAAATGCAGCTCACGGTCACAGTCCCTGAGGAAGTTCCCCTGTACAGGTCCCGTTGCCATCAATCAGGCCAGAGCACAGGTGTGCTTTGGTGTAAGCTCCCTGCTCGATTCAGTGGGAGCTGATGCAAGAAATATCGGGGGGGTAAGGAACCTGGCTAGCACCCACAAGTCAACCCGCGTGCCCCTTGAGGGCACCACCTGGATTCCCCTCGCCCAGTCCCCGACCGAACCTGGGCAAGGCTCCTTGCTGGCGGAGCGTTCCCCGACCTGGCGCGGTGCCCCGAGGCGTGAGTCACGGCTCCAGCTGGTTGACTCTGAAGCGATGGCCGCCTCCCAGCCCACATGAGCCTGCCTCCTGCCTCCTGCCAGCAAAACAGATGCTGGCTCGCTCAGTCGCAATTAAATCACCCGGAGCAACAGGAAAGCAAGAGCCAGACCCTTCCCCCACCTCGCTCCCTGCCTTGCCCCCCCCCCCAAGACTGGTGTGCACTGCACGCCGGCAGGCACCAGCCTGGGTCGGGCTGCCAGCTCCAGGTTCTGAAATCACAGGGGATTTAGGGGCGGGGCCCGGGAAGGCTGGGGTTTGGGCATGGGAGGGACCTCTGCGGGGTATGACGCCGTAGAGTCCGCCCTCCAAAGCAGCCATTTTCCTCAGGGGTACTGATCTCTGCAGTCTGGAGGATACTCGTGATTCTGGGAGAAGTCCAGGCCCCACCTAAGCCTGGGACAAACCGGAAGAAAAGAGGGGGGAAAGGGGGAGCTGCGATCGAAGGGGTGCTAGCAAAACCCAGGTTGCCTCCTTGACGCCAGCCCCAGCCCCGAGTCTTTCCGAACGGCTCGATAACGAAAGCATTTTGGCAGGGAGAGCTTCCCCCCAATAAGTATAGCTCCGTGGAAAGTGATCCTAAGTTTCCGCATGCCTGTTGAAGGTACGGGGAGGGTGGCGGGCAGGAAAACTCCAGGTGGAAACGGGAGAGGTGGAACAAAACCCGAGAGCTCTCCTCTTGTTGGGTCTTCGGTCAGTTTGCGGCTGAAACCCACCCCCTCCGATTGAACCATTTTCACCCCCCTCCCCCTTCACTGCTCCCCCCTGCACTGCTTGTCGCTCAGATTTAAGAAGGCACAATCTTCTCCTTGCCCCTGGGTCTGCAGTTCAACAGCCTCTCTCCCCCTTCCCCCAATGGTTCCTGTTAATAATCCCTTATTCAGCTTCTTGGCTCAGCCGGGAGGAGGGGAGGACGCCACATTGCAAGGACAAAAAAAAGCCCAACCAAAAAAACCCCAAAACCACCCTGGATTGGAGGAACTGTGCAATCTTGACAACTGTGTACTGTGGTTGCCGAGCGACTGCGAGATGATTACCATCGTCATGTGAGGCACCGTGCCCCTAAAATACCCAAAATCCACAAGCAGGAAACCCCAAACGGCGTGGTCGGGAGGGAGGGACTCCTTTTCTACGACTCAGGCCGCGTTGGCATTGCAGTTATTTTTTGGGGTATTGTTAGACTTTTGAGTCGTTGTTGCGAGCTGTGCACAAAAGGCGAGGCTAGCAGGGGAGGAGCGCAGAAACCCCGGGGACTATAACAAGCTATCGATATATTTGAAAATCACCCATAAAGTTTCCCAGGGGCAGAATTCTGCGCCACAGCAAAATGCCTCCTCTGGCTGTGCGACTCCCCTCAATGGATGGACAAGCGGGCACACACGCCCCCCCCCCCGAATGGCCAACACTACAGGGGTGTTTAGCTCTAATCTGGCCAGTGGTGCTGACGACGGGTGCCAGCCAATGCTCCCTCTAAGCTGTGGAGTCTTGTGAGCAAAAATCCTACTTTGTGAGCTACAGGCATTAAAGTTGTGAGTGAGTGTTTTGGCTACTGCATACCTTAGTTTGCTCTGGAGCCCTCCTTCCTGAGCGAAGACGAAAATGTGTGAGCTGGAGGCTAAAAAACTGTGAGCTAGCTCACACTAACTCAGCTTAGAGGGAACATGGGCGCCAGCTCACCCATGGCCTCCTTCTGCATCACCTGCAGTGTGAGAAGACGCAACCAGGAAGCCCAGAGTGGCCGCTGCTCCACTTTCTGAGCCAAGCCCTGGCCCCTGCAGTGCTGGCGGAGCGGCCAGGGCTTGGCTCGGTTCACTCCTGGTGGCCAAACGCCTCTCCAGGGCAGCAGCCTAATGAGAACTTTCCTGGTAACATGGAAGGCCAGTCTGCCCCTGCCTGAGACACACACAGACACACACACACACACACACAAGATCCGCAGTCCTAGTTGTTCCCCAGGCTAAGACACGAGAACTGGGACACGGTTCGGAGACAAAAGGAGGGGAGACATTCAGAGGGCAATTGGACTACTCGCTCAAGGCCCACTTGGAGAAGGAATTCTCAGGTGGGCAGCCATATTGATCTGCAGAAAGAAGGGCAAGATTCGAGTCCAGCAGCACCTTAAAGACCCAACAAGGTTTCCGGGGTAGAAACTTTTTTTCATTTTGTGTATGCGTAGGTGCAGGACCCTGATGCTGGGAAAGACTGAAGGTCAAAGAAGACGGGGACGGCAAAGAAGAAGAAGAGGAAGAGGAGGAGGAGGAGGAGGAGGAGGAGGAGGAGGACAACCCCACAACAGACACCCTGTGAGGTGGGTGGGGCTGAGAGAACTCTGACACAAACTGCTCTTTGTTCAAGGACAGCTGTGCCAGAGCTTGTGACTGACCCAAGGTCACACCAGCAGGTGCAAGTGGAGGAGTGGGGAATCAAACCCGGTTCTCCCAGATTAGAGTCCAGACACTTAACCACTACACCAAACTGGCTCTCAAAGGATGAGAGGGTTAGACAGTGTCATAGACACAACGAACATGACATTGAGCCAACTTCGGAGGACGGCGGAAGACAGGAGGGCCTGGCGTGATCTGGCCTATGCGGTCGCGGAGAGTCGGACTCGACTGTGCGACTGAACGACAACAACAAATGCGTAGAGGTGCACGTGTGTATGTGCTTGCGAGCCTGGAAGTCATGGTAACTTTTGGCAACCCCTACTGGGGCTAGGACGTTTCGGAAAGGTGGCTTAATATTACCTGCCTCTGCGTTCTGTACCTGGTATTCCTTGGAGGTCTCCCTTCCAGTTACTCGCCAGGGTCGGCCCTGCTTAGCTTCCAAGATCTGACGCGATCGGGCTTGCCTGGGCTACCCGAGGTCAGGGTCCGGGGTAGAAACCTTTGAGAATCGACTATCCAGATAACTGATCAAGGGAGCTTTGACTCTCGAAAGGTTCTGCCCTGGAAACCTTGTTAACCTTTAAGGTGCTCGAATCCAGCTATCCTACTGAACCGGTCCCACTGCAGACCAACACAGCTACCCTCTGAAACGGTAAATATTAAGCCTCTTCGGGAGGCATCAACATAAGAACATAAGAGAAGCCCGTGTTGGATCAGGCCAATGGCCCATCCAGTCCAACACTCTGTGTCACCCAGTGGCCAAGAATACCAGGTGCCATCAGGAGGTCCACCAGCAGGGCCAGGACACTAGAAGCCCTCCCACTGTTGCCCCACCCCCCCAAGCACCAAGAATACAGAGCATCACTTGCCCCAGACATAAGAACATAAGAGAAGCCAATGTTGGATCAGGCCAAGGGCCCCTCCAGTCCAACACTCTGTCACACAGTGGCCAAAAAATACCAGGTGCCATCAGGAGGTCCAGCAGTGGGGCCAGGACATGAAAAGCCCTCCCACTGTTGACCCCCCCCCCAGCACCAAGAATACAGAGCATCACTTGCCCCAGACATAAGAACATAAGAGAAGCCCGTGTTGGATCAGGCCAAGGGCCCCTCCAGTCCAACACTCTGTCACACAGTGGCCAGAAATACCAGGTGCCCTCAGGAGGTCCAGCAGTGGGGCCAGGACATGAAAAGCCCTCCCACTGTTGACCCACCCCCCCCAGCACCAAGAATACAGAGCATCACTTGCCCCAGACATAAGAACGTAAGAGAAGCCAGTGTTGGATCAGGCCAAGGGCCCATCCAGTCCAACACTCTGTCACACAGTGGCCAAAAATACCAGGTGCCATCCGGAGGTCCAGCAGTGGGGCCAGGACATGAAAAGCCCTCCCACTGTTGCCCCCCCCCCCAAAGTGTCACACAGTGGCCAAAAATACCAGGTGCCATCAGGAGGTCCACCAGTGGGGCCAGGACATTAGAAGCCCTCCCACTGTTGACCCCCCCCCCAAAAAAAAGCACCAAGAAGACAGAGCATCACTTGCCCCAGACATAAGAACATAAGAGAAGCCAGTGTTGGGTCAGGCCAATGGCCCATCTAGTCCAACACTCTGTGTCACACAGTGGCCAAAAATACCAGGTGCCACCAGGAGGTCCAGCAGTGGGGCCAGGAGGACACTAGAAGCCCTCCCACTGTTGCTCTCCAGCAACACCATGTCCTCCGAGAGCTTCCCTCCCAACCCTGTGTTCTGCTCCATCAGCCTGTGTTCACAAGACTCCTCGACCCCCCCCAGCCCCACTTCTGCCCTGCATCTCGTACTTGTTGAAGAGGTTCAAGCCGATGCGGTACTGGCGCCGCTGCACGATGTCGTTGTTGAAGGCAGGCGAGTCCCAGCTGTGCCGCGTCTCTCGCTGGTAGGTCTGTTTGCAGGGCCCGCCAGGGGCTGAGGTGGTGGCAGGGGCGGGCGGGGGAGGGTCCCGGAGGCTGTCCCGCGAGGAGGAGCCCGAGCTGCAGTTGATGGTCTCGTTGGAGTTGGTGGTGCTGTTGAGGCTGTCGTTGTCGCCGTCAGAGTTCAGAGGTGGGGGGGGCTGGTTTGGTTCGGGGTGATAATGCCGGTGTGGGTGAGGGGAACGGGCGGGCCCACCGGGGTGCTTGAGGGTGCTGTGGGGGCTGCAGCCGTCTTGCTCGTACATGAGGCCCCGGTTCAGAGAGCCCCGGTCAGAGCGGTCGCTTAGGTCCACCGAGCTGTCGCTGGGAGGCTCGATGGTGAGCAAAGGGAGGTGGGCAGCGCGCAGGCGGAAGTCCCGGCATTCCATACAAGGCGTGCTGCGCCGGCTGCTGCCCCCGTTCTCCCGGCTATCCTCCCGCTGGGGCCCACCCCAGTACTCCGGCCGAGGGGGTGGTGGAATGGGCACTCCTCCGCCTGACTCGGGCGGCTCGGTACTGGGTGGGCGCTCTAGCGAGAGGGGCGATGTGGGACCCCCCTCGTCCAGGTACAGCGTCACGTCACTGAAAGAAGTGGCCGCGCTGTCCCCTTGCTGCTCCTTGGACTCGCTCTTCTCCAAAGAGGGGCCGCCCGGCCCTCCCTCCTGCCCCAGCGGGTGGCAGTTCAGAGCTTCGTCAATGGATTCTGCCAAAGATTTTACCTGTTGGGAGGCACAGAAGGAAGTTAGCCAGGGTGGAGTCGGAGCGGTACCGTGAGCTCCCTGCGGTAAAGAGGGGGGCAATGGGACCAAAGCGCACCCGGGAAACCCAAACTCAGCATCCTGCATAAATTAAGCAAATGTGCATGTCTAGTTTGGTATTTGCAAACAAATAATAATACAGCAAAGCATGCTTTGGGTAATCCTTTGGACCACTTAAAGAGCTATCCCGAGCTAAGTCGCACCCTTCTAAATCCACAGAAGCCAGTGAGGTGAGACGGGTGTAACTCTGCTTAGGATGAGTGAAACATCAAATTAAAGCACAGAGCATGAAGAATGTAAGCACCGCTGTTAAAAGGGCTGGATCTACACAGAGGAAGACCTTGATTCCTGCTCCCGCTTAACCACACTGGATGACCGTGGGCCGCCTTCCCCTCTCTAAGCCTGCCGTCGCTTTCATGGCGGGGCGTCCTGTCCATTCCCGTGAGCTCTTTGGAGGCAGGCCAGGATACCAAGGTCATTCATGAGCAAACAGCATTGCAAAAGGGAAAAACAACAACAACGCAAGAAAGAAAAGAGTGATGTGCTGCCAAGGCTTGAAAAAATCCAAGAAAAGGAACGCAAAACCCACAGTCAATGCAAGCGGCAGTCTTTGAGCCCTCTCTGGCTTCTGGCTTCCAGGGCACGCGGTGACGAAGAGACAACAGAGGCAGGGGGGAAAAAGAGGTTTACGTACAAGAACGGAGGTAGGTGGATTTACGTGGATCTCAGCTTACGCCTTGCTTATTTTGGCACACTTGTTTAGCTTCTCTCCTCTTTGCCTCTGGCGAGTAAAGCTTGTCTCCAGGTGAGCAGACAGGGAAACTTTTCTCAGCTGGAGGAGAACTAGTTCTCCTCACCCCCTTTTCTTCAGCCTGTTTATATGTCGCCAAAGATGTAAACCGGGATGCACTGGTAGGCCAGTCTAGTAAAAACGTCACAGGCCCATTCCTGAAAGACTTAAGTTACTTCCGCAGGGGAGGGATTCCCCGCTGTATAGTCATTGATGCTTATGAATACAGCGGTATCTGCAGCAACCACGAAGCCTACATACTGTGTGTGTGGCAGGGAGGAATTCCGTAGCTTTCTCTCCCTATGCCCTTGAATCCCCCCCCTCCCAACCTGGAAACGTTTTGCGAGGTCTTTTTTTTTTAAATGCAGTTGTAGCTCTATTGCTACAGCTTTTTACCGCAATAGCAAGATAGCGACTAGGGATTTAAGAAAAAAGCCAGCAAAAAGCCCACGGGTGGCTGGGTGGCAGGTAGGAATAGTGAGCACAAAGAGACAGGTAGGGGAAATGGTGTTGCTACGCACAGAAGGGTCCTAAAACCTGCCACTCCTGTCCACACAGGGACCAAACCCGCTTTGACTATAATAATTCCAGGAGGAATACACTAAAGCAGGTTTGGGAGGCGGGGAAAGTGAGGGAGGAGAAATCCCGGAAAATGGAACACTACACAATTAGGATGGATGGAAGCCTCTAAATAAAATACCTGCTACAGCCTGGGATACAAGACAGAGCTACAGGTCGGCATGGATTTTTATTTGCAAGGCTGTTTCACTGTGGGCTGTGTCGAAAAATCTATGCCAAACGGTAAGACAAGCAGAGATTCTGCACAGTATTCTGGCTGCCTTACACTTGACCCTTCTTTGAGATGTCTTCTAGGACTGGTTGCTTGTTCCGGATTTTGTTTCTGCACCACAAAAGGGCTAGAAGGGTGTACTTTTTAAAATAAAGGCGGAGTTTCTCCGCAGACCGTTTTCTGGACTCGGGACCGGTATCTGCACTTGCTCGGTACAGATAGGAAACTGTAGGATATATTGAGCTCAGGATATGCCCAGAAGTGAAGGGGACATCCGTTTGTGAGAAGTGGGAACCGTGACAGTGCAAATCAGCAAAAAACGACGTAAAAATGGTATTAAAAGCTGTTTTGGGAACAATCCTAAACCGATTCAGGTGGGGGGTAGCTGTGTTGGTCTGAAGCAGCAGAACGAAGTCGGAGTCCAGTGGAACTTTTAATGCCAACAAAGTTTTATTCAAGGTATGAGCTTTCTCTACTCTAGACGTCAATCCCACTGAATTCAAGGGGGCTTACTCCCAGGAAGATGTTCTTCTACATTAAGGACGCAATCCTAAAAGCTAGGTTCGAGACCAGGAACACCGTAGAGAGCAACAAGACTTTCAGGGTACGAGTTTTCGAGAGTCAGAGCTCCCTTCGTCGAATACCCGACGAATGTCTGACGAAGAGAGCTTTGACTCTCGAAAGCTTGTACGCCGAAAATCTCGTTGGTATCTAAGATCCTCCTGAATTCAGATCTGATTCTTCTACTGCAAACTGACAGTGCCACCCTCTGAGCCTTAATCCATTATTAACGTTTTCATAAAATTATCTTTCTTTCTTTCTTTCTTTCTTTCTTTCTTTCTTTCTTTCTTTCTTTCTTTCTTTCTTTCTTCCTTTCTCTCTCTCTCTCTCTTTCTCTCTTTCTTTCCCTCCCTTCCTTCCTTCCTTCCTTCCTTCCTTCCTTCCTTCCTTCCTTCCTTCCTTTTTTCTCTTTCTCCTTCCCTTCCTTCCTTCCTTCCTTCCTTCCTTCCTTCTCGGTGGCGGCCCCATCCTGGTGGACTGAGCTCCCGGAGGAGATCAGGCCCCTGCGGGACCTTTTACAGTTTCGCAAGGCCTGTAAAACGGAGCTCTTCCACCAGGCTTTTGGGGGCCACCGCCACCATCAATGAAGAACATCGGATGGCTGAATGTGAGAGGGCCCTGGATTCCGGATATTGCCACCACTGCAGGGCTGATCAGAGTGGACACTGTGAGCTGACTGCAAGCTGAGGACTGAGAACTGCTACCATCGTACGAGGAACACGACTACTAGCACTTTATTATGGTTTTAGAATTGTTTTAATTGTAACTTATATTTTAATGTAATTTATCTGTTTTTATGTAAGCCTCCCTGAGCCAGCTTTGGCCGGGAGGGCAGGGTAGAAATTTGAAAAATATCTATCATCTATCTATCTATCTATCTATCTATCTATCTATCTATCGCCAAAAAATAATTTAAAAAGTGTCAAATGTGTACTTCATAATACTCAGTCTTTAAACCGGGATGCACTGGTAGGCCAGTCTAGTAAAAACGTCACAGGCCCATTCCTGAAAGACTTAAGTTACTTCCGCAGGGGAGGGATTCCCCGCTGTATAGTCATTGATGCTTATGAATACAGCGGTATCTGCAGCAACCACGAAGCCTACATACTGTGTGTGTGGCAGGGAGGAATTCCGTAGCTTTCTCTCCCTATGCCCTTGAATCCCCCCCCTCCCAACCTGGAAACGTTTTGCGAGGTCTTTTTTTTTTAAATGCAGTTGTAGCTCTATTGCTACAGCTTTTTACCGCAATAGCAAGATAGCGACTAGGGATTTAAGAAAAAAGCCAGCAAAAAGCCCACGGGTGGCTGGGTGGCAGGTAGGAATAGTGAGCACAAAGAGACAGGTAGGGGAAATGGTGTTGCTACGCACAGAAGGGTCCTAAAACCTGCCACTCCTGTCCACACAGGGACCAAACCCGCTTTGACTATAATAATTCCAGGAGGAATACACTAAAGCAGGTTTGGGAGGCGGGGAAAGTGAGGGAGGAGAAATCCCGGAAAATGGAACACTACACAATTAGGATGGATGGAAGCCTCTAAATAAAATACCTGCTACAGCCTGGGATACAAGACAGAGCTACAGGTCGGCATGGATTTTTATTTGCAAGGCTGTTTCACTGTGGGCTGTGTCGAAAAATCTATGCCAAACGGTAAGACAAGCAGAGATTCTGCACAGTATTCTGGCTGCCTTACACTTGACCCTTCTTTGAGATGTCTTCTAGGACTGGTTGCTTGTTCCGGATTTTGTTTCTGCACCACAAAAGGGCTAGAAGGGTGTACTTTTTAAAATAAAGGCGGAGTTTCTCCGCAGACCGTTTTCTGGACTCGGGACCGGTATCTGCACTTGCTCGGTACAGATAGGAAACTGTAGGATATATTGAGCTCAGGATATGCCCAGAAGTGAAGGGGACATCCGTTTGTGAGAAGTGGGAACCGTGACAGTGCAAATCAGCAAAAAACGACGTAAAAATGGTATTAAAAGCTGTTTTGGGAACAATCCTAAACCGATTCAGGTGGGGGGTAGCTGTGTTGGTCTGAAGCAGCAGAACGAAGTCGGAGTCCAGTGGAACTTTTAATGCCAACAAAGTTTTATTCAAGGTATGAGCTTTCTCTACTCTAGACGTCAATCCCACTGAATTCAAGGGGGCTTACTCCCAGGAAGATGTTCTTCTACATTAAGGACGCAATCCTAAAAGCTAGGTTCGAGACCAGGAACACCGTAGAGAGCAACAAGACTTTCAGGGTACGAGTTTTCGAGAGTCAGAGCTCCCTTCGTCGAATACCCGACGAATGTCTGACGAAGAGAGCTTTGACTCTCGAAACTGGTGGACTGAGCTCCCGGAGGAGATCAGGCCCCTGCGGGACCTTTTACAGTTTCGCAAGGCCTGTAAAACGGAGCTCTTCCACCAGGCTTTTGGGGGCCACCGCCACCATCAATGAAGAACATCGGATGGCTGAATGTGAGAGGGCCCTGGATTCCGGATATTGCCACCACTGCAGGGCTGATCAGAGTGGACACTGTGAGCTGACTGCAAGCTGAGGACTGAGAACTGCTACCATCGTACGAGGAACACGACTACTAGCACTTTATTATGGTTTTAGAATTGTTTTAATTGTAACTTATATTTTAATGTAATTTATCTGTTTTTATGTAAGCCTCCCTGAGCCAGCTTTGGCCGGGAGGGCAGGGTAGAAATTTGAAAAATATCTATCATCTATCTATCTATCTATCTATCTATCTATCTATCTATCGCCAAAAAATAATTTAAAAAGTGTCAAATGTGTACTTCATAATACTCAGTCTTTATAGGTAATGGTTGACAACAACCTGGACGGGAAAAAACCAGGTCTTTCCCCTTTTATCTTAATGTGTGGAAATGGGCATTGAAGCGTTTCATGGCTTTGGGGGTAAATGACATCACCTGCTCTTCTTTATTTTATTTTATTTTAATTCTCATTTGGAATAATAGATTAGAATAGTAGATTGTAATGTAACGTAATGAGCAGCAGAATGTAGCGTGATTTGGAACGGTCGACTGGAATGTATTTCTCTGGTCTGGGGAAAGGGGAGATAACTCTACACAGCCAATCGCCCCGCTTTGAAGAAGAAGATGCTGTAAGGTCGCCTCCATGCTTGAGAGGAGCGTAATGGCAGGGTCTCAGTTAATTTACTCTCAGCATTCCACAATTAAGAAGGATCCGTCTGCCCATCAATCTCCAATTTTGATATATTTATTTCCTTCACTATTATTCCCCCTGGAATTAAATCCACACAAACGGTAGCCATATATTCTAAGTTTATTTATCCATGTTTGGTCCTTGAATCTGTTAAATATCTTCATTATGCTGTATGCTGATTTACTTCTCACCCTCTGCCGATACGTTTGGACTGGTAATTTCTATTTTGTTGCATATGAAGAAGTTTATACCTGCAATAAAACTTTGATGGCCTTAAGGTGCCACTGGACTCAAACTTTGTTCTGGTAAATAACAGTAAGCCTCTGTTAAGAGGGCAGGGCATTTGTTCTCCAAGATGTTGGCAACCACATTGGTAGGGTGCTTGTCGGGTTCAAAGCACTTCACATATAACTGGTCCAGAATGCAGCAGTCCAATTATGATCAGCAGGGGTCGTTTCGTAGAAAAAGAGCTAGGGGAACTCATTAGCACAACTCATTAGCATATGCCACACCCCCTGACATCACCGGAAGTGTGTCATAAGGCCACACACCCCGCCCCCAACGGTCCCAGCCGCCTCTGCCGACCCATGAGGGGCCCGGCGGTGGACCGGAGTGCGAGGAAGCCCCGCGAAGGCCCTCCCTGGCCCCAGGCAGGCAGGGGTGGGGAGAGGCAGGGAGGAAGCAACTTACCCTCCCTCTTCTCCTGCCTCCTCCTGGCTGAATGAGGGCCGGAAGCCGGGCAGCCGGAAGCAGGGGGCAGGGCTTCGTCATGTGCCCCGCCCCCCGTACCTCACCCGGGGGAACTGCGATCCCCCGTGTTCCCCCCCGAAATGACCTCTGATTATCAGGGGCCAGCTGCTGGGAACTCACGTTGCCCATTTTGAAACACCGACATTCACTGCCAGTCTGTTTCCGAGTTGATTTCAAGGTGCTGTTTATGACCTTTAAAACCCTTCTCTGTCTATTATATCTCCATAAGGAAAGGGACAGATCCTGTTTCGTTTTGTTATGGAAGCTGAAACGGGCCCGCTTATCGTGGTCCTCTTATCGTGGTGGACTTCCAGCCACTTGCAGCTGTTGCCTGTGGATACTCAGCTGAACAACAGGCAGAAAGTGGGGCCGAAGAGGGGTGTGTGATCGTCCTGGTGAGAAAAACTGAAAAGAAAAATAAGCCCTCGTTTACTTACAGGAAGTTCTGACCATAGAGCTCCTGATGATTCCTAGAGCTACCAGGAAGTGACAAGGATAGCTCTAGGAATCGGCAGGAACTCTACGGCCAGACCCCCGGGTAAAAAGCCAAGGCCTTTTTTTTTTTTTTTTTTTGTCTCCTAGGATGCTGCCCCCCCCCCCCCAACCCTCCTGCCAGTTGCAGCCAGTTTTGTTCACGGTACCACCTGGCAACTATTTTTTTTTTACATTTTTAGAAGTTAAACAACAGAACCCAGTAGGGAAATGCATCCGGAACCTCCATTATAATTTGGGTGAGACACGACGAAGGGATCCCCATGCAACAAGGAAGAGACCGAGAGGGACGATCAAAACGACTGCAGAAAGACAGAAGAAAATTCCCGTGAAGGTTTCGACAAGGATAGGCCGGAGCAGAGCAGCTGGGCGCAGCCTACCTGCTTAGAGAAGGAGTCCTCCAGCTCCGTGATGTCATTGCAGAACCCTCCAGAAGAGGAATGCAGAGAGTTGCCGTCCAAGCCGGCCCGGCAGGAGCCGCCGTAGGGTAGGCCCCGGTCCAGCGGGTGGGGGCGAGCAGTGGCCATGGTCCCCTCATCTAGCGAGGCCGGCTTGCCTTCGAAGTAAGGGGCGTTCTGGGCCTTGTCGTACTCCTCGAAGGAGTACTGCATCCGCATGTTGGACAGGATGATCCGCCGCGACATGCGGCTCTCGGATGCCGAACTGCGCAGGCGCTCAAACTTCTTGTTCATCCGGTACTGGCGGAAGGCTGTCTGGATGGTGCGGGCTGCTCTCCGGCTTAGGAAATAGCCCCCATATTTCCGCTCCAGCATCTCCACCTGTGGTGAGCAGCAGAGGATCAGACAGGGACGAGAGCGGGGATTCGAGCGAGGCAGTGGAGGGGAAAGGGTTATGGGGGAATCAGGAAGTCGGTAGTGTGGACGGAACTATACAGACAAAGGAAGCCGGCAAAACTGGCTTCAAGGAACTGTCGGACGTGAGCCCGGCAAGGGACAGGGAGGGACACAGAAGTCCTGGGAGTGTCTCCCCTCTTGTCCCGCTTGGCCCCACACAGCACTTCAGATCCTCCCTCCGAGTTGTCTAGTTAGCCCCTGCTCGGATCCGTTCACACCCAGTGAGGCCCTTACGAAACGCCCTCCCCGAGGCCAGGCACATGGCTCCTGGGCTGCCCTCAGGAAAAGGAATTCAGACAAGCATTCGGCCGGCAACGGATCGGATCGGGTGTCGCATTACCTTGAGGATGAAACTAGCCGCTGTTTACTCTTCACTGCTGCATTTTAAAAAATGTTTATTTCCAGCTGTGCAGGCCGTTATAAACCACCTGATTTGTTTACTTATTTAAAAATTTACACCCCGCCTTTCCTGTTTGGCTCAAGGCAGCGTGAGCCATCCTTGCTCGGTTGGGAGAGGCAGGACGTAAATATTTTCCTAAAAATAAATACATGGGCATTCATTATGGTTCCCCCCCCGTTTTTTGGGGGGGAGGGGCATCAGACTTTCTGTTCTCCCTTCCCGCCCCCCCTTCCTGGCGCAGTCACCCAGGTTACGGGGAGGACGAGAGAGAAGCTTGGCCGATATCTCGTCACGCTGGGTTTCGACGTATTTCAGTTTCAGGGACCTGCCCAATCTCTGACTAGGAAGGACTCGGAATAGCGTGGGAAACACGAGAGAGGACCGAGCCACGACTGGTATTCCACAGTGTTCTGTGCTCAGTGGGCCCTTCACATTTGTTCATGTGTAGGCAGGGCCACGCGTGACCTTACGCGGGTCCCCTGGACCTATTCAGGGCTCCTCGACCCTCTACAGCTTGTGAGCACGAGAGACCCTACTACCTTTTTGTCCTGAAGGTCTGTGGAGAGCTCATAGCTGTCCGACAACGCCTTGGAACGCTTGCTCTCCTCCTCTTCCTGCTTCCTCAGAGCCACGCTGGCCGGCTGTAGCCGCGCACGCTGGGCCCAGGGCAGCCCCGGTGACGGCGTGTGACAGACAGAGGAGGACGACGACGAGGGCGCCAAATCGTAGTGCTCGATTTTCGTCACCTCGGGGGCGCAGCGGTACGGCGGCTGGCTGCCCAGGTTGTCCACGATAGGGCCTGGCTCACTTCCCGGCGGGTCGCCTTCCACGCTGCGGGGAAAAAAGGGAAAGGGATTTATAGAAACGCCGGAGAAGAGTAAGGAAGGCCAAGGGGGCACACTACGGTGACCCAAGAACATTGATGCTACCCTTTCGTCTCCAATGCTCAATCCCAGCCACCAAGAGGCGACAACAGTTCCCTCAGAGGGCCACAACTGGCTCCCAGATGGGACTGGAGACATATATAAAATTTGCCGGGCTAGGAAGTTTCAGAGGATGGCTGTGCTAGATTCAAGTCCAGTAGCTCCTTAGAAACCAAGGAGGAGGAGAAGGAGAAGGAGGAGGAGGAGGAGGAGGGATTGGATTTATACTCCACCCTTCACTTGGAGTTTCAGAGTGGTTCACCAACTCCTTTCCCTTCCCCTTCCCACAGCAGACACCGTGTGAGGTAGGCAGGGCTGAGAGAGCTCTGACAGAAACTGCCCTTTCAAGAACAGCTCTGACAGAACTATGGCTTGCCCAAGGTCATCCAGCAGCTGCGAGTGGAAGGAGTGGGGGATCAAACCCGGTTCTCCCAGATTAGAGTCCGCGCACTTGACCACTACACCAAACTGACAAGATTTTCACGGTAGGGACTTTCAAGAGTCAAAGCTCCCGTTATCTTGAAAGCTCATACCCCCCAAATCCTGATGGTTTCTAAGACAGTATTGAACTTGAATCTAGCTCGGCTAGGAAGGAGATGAACAAACCTACTGCCTCCCCCCCCCCCGAAGGTCAGGATGTCACCCTATTCGGCCGAGCCCTGCTTAGCTCTGTTCCATCTTTCTACTGTTGACTTCCACCATTGCTCTCTGAATACTAACCCCCGGTAGCAGCCGCCTTGCAAAATGAAGTCCACCAAAATATCAGGGTGCTATCAAATTTGTCATTGTGGAATCTACTGGGATGGCCAGAGAGGCACTTCACAAACTATGGCAGATCTGTGGAGGCTGCGTCTGTGTTAAAATTATACTTTGAGACCAGCCACTCCGATTTAGTGTGTTGGGCATCGGAGTGGGGAGATCTGGGGCTAACTTGCTGCTTGGCTAGAAAGTTTGCCAGTTGACATCATGCTACCTGCAATCAATCATCCTAATCTCTCTTAACAGGTTGCTGGGGGTAAACCCGCTTTTGAGTTCCATGGAGGAAAGAGAGGGGCTCGTCTGTAAGGAAAATGAAGGAGTTGTGTTGGATACCGTTGAACGTTGTTGTTGATGTCACAAGTACTACCCAATAGGTGCTCATGACAATCACACAACCACATCCCAGCATCATTACAAATCACAAAGGCTCCTGTAGTGGGAAAGTAACTGCATTTCCCTAGTAACAGTTGGGCGGATCCTGCCCCCATCCTACCACTCCACCGAGCAAAGTTTACTAATCTATTGATTGAAATATCGATACCTCAAGTTTGAAGAGATTAGACAGATTCACAGAGGAGAGGTCTGTCAGGGGCCACGAGCGATGGGGACTAAAGAGAACCTCCACATTCAGAGGCAGTAAACCTCTAGATCCCAGAGCCAGGATGGAGGCCAAAACAGGTAGCCCCGATTCATCCATGCAAGCCGGACCCCTTTGATTGTGACATGTCCCGAGGGTGTGAATTGGGGCCACCTCTTAGATCAAGGCTCTCCAACCTTTTTGAGCCTGTGGCACCTGTGGCGTTCTGACACAGTGTGGCAGGCACAACGATCAGCCGCCCACCATGAGAGGCGGAGCCACACGAAAAGAAAGCCCAACTGCAAAGGGCGAGAGGAGTAACTAAAAAAAACACAGTGGGACAGACGAGTGGGAGACAGAACAAAACCAGCTCTGCGGTGGTAGCTGCCACTGTAACATTATTTTAATTTGCACCACCAATCAGATCTCCAGTGGCCAAGCGGAACTCCAGATGGGAAAGAGCCCCACCTGGCTTCACCCAGTTTCTAAAAGCACTCAGGAGTTGGTGGGTGCCACTGTGCCCCTGGGCACCATGTTGGAGACCCCTGGCTTAGACTGCTGCTTCCAGCTGTGGGCTCCACACATACAGACCCCCATGCCGAGTTGGTTCTAACAAGCCACGGCAGCATGGAGTTGGCATGCCAAGGGGATGGGGGGGGACAGCGGGGCTAGTTCACTCCCTATCTGCCACCAAACAGCGATTTTGAATGGTTGCAGGAGGGGAACATATGGAGTTGCCCTATACCGAATCAGACCCTGGGTCCATCAAAGGTCAGTATCGTCTACTCAGACTGGCAGCTGCTCTCCAGGGTCTCAGCCAGAGATCTTCCACATCACCTCCTGCCAGGTCTTTTTAACAGGAGAAGCCAGGGATTGAACCCGCATGCCAAGCAGAGGCACTGCTGCTGAGCCAGGGTCTCAAGTCAAGGTCTTCCCCATCACCTACTGCCTGGTCCTTTCAACTGGAGAAGCCGGGGATTGAACTTGGGACCTTCTGCATGCCAAGCAGAGGCGCTGCCACAGAGCCAGGGTCTCAGGTCAAGGTCTTTCTCATCACCTCCTGCCTCGTCCTTTTAACTCGGGAAGCCGGGGATTGTACTTGGGACCTTCTGCAAGCCAAGCAGAGATGCTCTACCACTGAGCCATGGCCCTGCCCCCCATAAATACAGGCATCTCCCTTATAAATAATAGCCGAATGGTGGTGGCACTTCTCTAGAACATTCCACACGCTCCAAAATCAGTTCGCTCTCTGATCTGCCATTCAGAGGGTCTCCCTACCCACTGGCTGCTTTGCCTGAGTCCTGCCTCCAACATTCTAAACATTTTGCTGTTCCTCTCCCCCCCCATAGCCAGTCAGAACACAGAGGTTATTTGCATATGCAGCCTCATTGGCCTTTGCCTCGGAACACAGATTTCATTTGCATATGTGACTTGATTGGCTTTTGCCTCTAACATTCTAAACAGTTTTCTGTTCTGAGGTAAAATGTGTCCAATCTCCAGGTGAGGGCTGGAGATCCCTCAGAATTACAACTGCTTTCCAGATGGCAGAGATCAGTTCCCCTGGAGAAAATGGTGGGCTCTGTATCCTTATATGCTGCTGAGGTGGCCCCCATATGACAGTCAATGTGACGTAGCAGTCAGGGCTTCAGAGCCGGGGAGAGGCTGCAGGTGTGTGGGGGGGTGGAAAGCTAAAGAGTGAGGGGGAAATAAAGGTAGGTTGATGATTGGCTGGGAAGGAGATAGGGTTGCCAGCTCCAGGTGGGAAATTCCTGGAGATGTGAAGGATGGAGCCTGGAGAGGGTGAGGTTTCAGGAGGCGTGGGACCTCGGACAGGTACAAAGCCATAGACTCCACCCTCCAAACCAACTATTCCCTTCTGGGAAACCATTGTTGCCAATCTCCAGTGAGGGCTGGAGATCACTCAAAATTACAACTGTTCTTAAGGTAGCAGAGATCAGTTCCTCTGGAGAAAATGGTGGACTCAGTGTCATTATACCCTGCTGAGGTCGCCACAGCAAATTGACACTGAATGTCCAAGGCAGGGGCACCCGCCCAGAGCCTCTTTCTAGAGGCCGTTGTACTTATTTCCACAAGGGGCCTTTTTCCTAGTGTATATATAAAGCTGAGTTCTACTGAGTCAGACCCTTGGTCCATCAAGGTCAGTATTATTAACAATGACCTGCAGCCACTCTTCAGGGCCTCTGGAAGAGGTCTTTTATATTACCTATTGCTTGGTCCTTCGAACGGGAGATGCCAGCAACTGAATCTGGGTCCTTCTCCGTGCCAAACAGATGCTCTACCCCTGAGCCACCCTTCACAAACATACAGGAAGCTGCCTTACACTGAATCAGACCATCAACATCATTATTGTCTACTCAGACTGGCAGCAGCTCTCCAAGGTCTCAGGCCGAGGTCTGTCACACCACCTACTGCCTGGTCCTTAACTGGAGGGCTGAACCTGGGACCTTCTGAGCTTTGTCTCAGCAGCAGAAGTTCTGGGCCGGTTTTTCATCCACAACAGGAAAAAGCAACCCCAAGCGCTTTCGGTACAAAACCTTTTTTCCCTTGCTTAAAAAAAAACAAGTTTTCCTTTTCCTCTGTTCCGTTTCTAATTACAGAGCTCACACCGCACAATTAAGAGCCGCGCTCCGCCTGATGAACTAGTCCCTGCTTTAACACCGTATTGCCACTTTTAACGAAGCGCCCCCTCCCTCCCAGAGGAGCTGAGTGCGAAAGCCGATTCCTCACACATTTCTGGCTTGAAGAGAGGGCCACGCCCGATTTAAATTTCAAATTAAATCCGGTGGTTCAGCTGCAAAAAAACAAAAAAACGAACAACCAAACAACCTCCTGTGTGACTCGTGACCCATGAGGCTGAAGGCAGCCGCCCAGCCGCACACCGAGGCCTGCTGAATGCTTGGCAACCCCGCAGCTTTTGCAAGCACAACGGGAGGTTAATGAGCCCCCCTGGCCGGCCCACAGGGCCGGGTGTGGGGGCCTCTGCTTGATTTGGCGGCTCCTAAGTTGCCCAGGCTTGCTGGAGAGCAGAAGTGTTCGACCTCTGTAGACTCGGGAGCAGTGTTCCATCTAAGCTGAGTTAGTGTGCGCTAGCTCACAGTTTTTTAGCGTCCGGCTCAGGTTTTTGTCTTCGCACAGGAAGGGATGGCTCCAGAGCAAACGAATCTGTGCAGTAGCCAAATGGCTCGCTCACAACTTTAACGCCAGTAGCTCACAAAGTAGAATTTCTGCTCACAAGACTCCACAGCTTAGAGGGAGCATTCAGAGGTAGTAGAACGAGAACCACTTGAGTGGCAAGCACATTACGGGAA